GTTTGGTTTTGGACATGCAGATGTGGGGCAGGCAGTTGGATGTCAAGTTGAGAGTTCAGGAGAAACATCTGGCTGGAGATGTAAATTTGGGAGTCGTCAGCAGGTAGATGGCATGTAAAGCCACGAGGCCAGATGAGATCACCGAGGGAGTGAGTGTAGACTGAGGAGAGGACAGGACCAAGTGCCCAGCCCTGAGGTGCTCCGCCATGTAGAGACGGGCCAGGAGAAAGCAGCACCAGACACGGATGAGGAGCAGCCAGTGAACAATGAGGAAGACCAGGAGAGTATAGTGTCCCAGAAGCCAAGGAAAAAACAAAATCTCTGAAGGAACAGAGTGATCCACTTGTTAAACGCTGCTGATAGCTCAAGTAAGATGGGTTCAGCAACACTGAGGTTTTTGGTGCCATGGAGCGGGCTTGGGAGAGACTAGGAGGACAGGAGTTGCAGACAGTGAGTGTAGGAGAATTGCAGTCAAGGGGAGAAAAAAAAATGGGCCAAAAAAAAAAAAATGGGGGCCAGAATGCTCAAGGAGAGCATGAAGGTTTGAGAGGTTTGGTTTTTGTTCCAATTCTTTTAATGGAACATGGGAGCAACTGTATGTAACATGTTCGTATGTTCATGGAGAAGGACAAAAATTGACGCAGGCAAGGGAGCAGGGAAATGCTGGCTGCACAATGTTCCCAGGGAGGTGAGAAGGGACGGGAGGTGAGAAGGGACTTGTGCCTCCACCCCAGGCACAAGTGGAGGGGTCTGTCTTAGAGGGAGGTGCAGGCTGTTCACCTAGAGAAATAGGAGAGGAGGCAGAGGATGTGGGCGCAGACACAGGTAGGTAGCAAGAGTGACCTTTCTAGTTTTCGCTATTCTGATGGGTGAAAAGTGGGTTGCTGTTGCTGCACGGCAAAGATGATGACTGGGACCGACATCCTTAACAACATGGACCCAGATACAGAGAATAATTTGTGCATCTCGACACTTTTTTAAAAGTTTATTGATTTATTGAGAGAGAGAGAGAGAGAGAGAGAGAGAGAGTGTGAGCGAGCGTGCACAAGCACGGTGGCCGGGGAGGGCAGAGATAAAGGGAAGAGAGAGAATCCCAAGCAGGCTCTGTATTATCAGCGCAAAGCCCAATGTGGGGCTCGAACTCATGAACCACGAGATCATGACCTGAGTTGAGATTAAGAGTCAGACGCTGAACCCACTGAGCCACCCAGGTGCCCCTCCATCTCGATGCCTTTGTTTGTTTCTCTCTCTCTCTCTGCATTTCCTCTGTTCTCTCCTACCCACCCTGTCTTTCTATCTCTGTGTATTTATCCCTTTGTATCTTTCTCTGTCTCCCCCTCCCTTCATGTTTGCATTGGGGCCTCTCCTCTGAGCCTGGGTGTGGGGCCAACTTTCTCATCCCAGCCAGCCAGCACTTCCAACCAGAACTTCCAGTCCTTGCTTGACAAAGAACCCCATTTTGAAGCCAAGCTAGGGTGGGGCCTCTGGAAACCTCAGGCTACCTCCATTTCCAGCTTTACTTAATTAACAAGCACATTTGTGTCCCTTGGTCTCTGTCGGGCTCTCATCTAAGCAACCTTCAAATATTAACTCATTTAACCCTCCTCTTTGAGGTATGTGCTGTTGATAGCGCCATTTTGCAAATGGGGACAACGAGTGGCCATGTCACTTGGCCACTTGGACTCACATCATTTGCGTCTCAACTCTGAACCACTAAGGCCACTGTCTCTTTTTCTAGTCCTTTCTCCAGCCCTGCCTTCTGACAGGGAAAAGACCCTGATTTATGAGACAGTACAGCTGGATTTGGTCTAGTTCTGGGACTTTCAGCAGCTCACTGCCCTCCATGGGCTCCAGTTGCCTTATTGATCATGTGAGGGGATGGAATGCACCCAACTCTTGGTGGGTCTATGACTTCACTTCAACATGAGTCAGCAACCTAAGTCCTGGCCAATCATAAACCCTAATATCAGCATTGACCTGGTACTCACCCCTAAGCAAATACCAAAGCCAGCCACCCCTACTCCAGGACCCAGCCCTTCCCAAGTGAGAAAGCCTTTTCTGGAAGTGTGGACCCAGGCCACAAGAGGGCATAGGTACCCGGACTTCCCACACAAGAGTGTCAGTCACCTCACTTAACCTGCATCCTCCTTCCTCCCGCATCCTCCCTCCACTCAACCTGAACCCAACACTACTCCAAAAGAGTGAACTCAGGACCCACTCTGGGTCCAGCCTTGTGAGGCAAGGGAATTTCAAGGTGGGGAAAGACAATACTCTTTCTGTCACCTTGAGAGAAGCTCACAGCTATGAGCCGGTCCATTCCCATCAAAACCCTACTAAGGGGAGCTTGGGTGGCTCAGTCGGGTAAGCGTCCGACTTCGGCTCAGGTCATGATCCCATGGTTCCTGAGTTCGAGCTCTGCGTCGAGCTCTGCGTCGGGCTCTGTGCTGACAGCTCAGAGCCTGACAGCTCAGAGCCTGGAGCCTGCTTCAGATTCTGTGTCTCCCCCTCTTTGCACTCCTCCCCCACTCATGCTCTGTCTCTCCTCTCTCAAAAACAAATAAACATTAAAAAACAAAAAAACCCTACTGCAACACAGACACCTAACCTCACATCTAGTTTTTGTTATCACCATCAACCCACAACACCTGCTCAGCTATATTTCAAAACCTCCCATCCAAATCCTCAATCATGGCTCCATCAACATTCTTATCCCCAGAACCCTCCCATTGAGAACTCAGTCCTATCCTCAAAACCAACTAGAACCCCATCCTCACCCTGTGTCTATTCTCCCCCCAGACTCACTTGCATTCCCAGTGCTGTCATCAGACCCATCCTAAACCTGTCCATGAACTTTTGTTCTCAGTGCAAGGAAAAAACGTGAAAGACTTTGAGATGAACCCAACAGATGTCTCTGATGGAAAACTAAGTAGGTTATTTGATTTTATGAGGTCTCTGCCTCTGTTATTGTCTTTCAGCTGCTTTACGACTCTGTAAATTATCGACAGCTGATAGAGTTGCAAATCATTCTTGTCTATAACCATAACCGTACAAATGAATTTTGTCAGGTGAAGTACAATTAATTTCCCTCCCCACCCATGTAGAATAAACCAGTTCTCCATCTATTTATAAATCTATTTCAGTCTTCCTTATTGCCTCTACCTGTGTGGGTCTTTGTAACATCTTGCCAACTCCATCATTTATTAATGGATCAAAATAAAAACTTTGATATATGCTTATTTTATATATGTAGGAGAGTCCTGGTTAGATCCCTTTAAAAAAAAAAAAACGTATCTTTTGTCACTAGATTTGATCCCTATATCCAAACTTAAACCTCTCCAACATGGACTACACCATTTTGATGTGAACCTTCACTCTGGCATCTTAATCCCTTATCCTCATCTTGACACCACTGCTCTCTCTCCCAACTTCATCTGATCCCCATCCCTGGCTTTCTTCCAAATTCTGACCCCACCTCTGCCCTCCTTAATCCTTAATCCTGCCCCCTCCACCCCCTAGGATTAATTCATGGCCCCACCCAGTCACAGTTCCAAGAGACACCTACACATTCCCAAAACACCACCTCTTCCTCCTTCCTCTTCCCCATCATCCTGGCCCCCAGAGCTTTCCGATTCCTGCTTCTCCCTCTCCGCTTACATCCCATGGACTCCCTCACCCCAACTGGCCCTGCTCCTTAAAGGCCATTTACCCAAACAAAATATTGCTCTTCCAGGCCCCATCCAAGTCCGGTACAGTTGACTTTCTAAGCCACCTATCTGAAGATTCCCTTCTGGTGCCTGAAGGTTTTGGGGGTGGGGATGGGGGTGGGGGTGGGGGTGGGGGAAGGCCAATGGTGGAATTTAGGCATCTCTGTGTTGGTGCTGGAGATGAAGTTGGGAACTGGAATTTGGATGTGTTGGGTTTGAGGCCCGGATAAACTTGAGATAAGGCTGTTGATGGGCTTGTGTTTGGGGGATAGGCTGACTGTAAGGGGTATGGTTAAAATTAGGGAGACAGGAATAGGGTGGAAAATGGCCATCTGGAAGCTGATGGATGTAAAGATGTGCACAGGGGTTGGAGAGATTAGAAAGCGGGATGGAAAATGGATTGGTGTTAGGGAGGGCCATGGGGATTTAGGGTGGGTTTGAGGAAGGAAATAGCTTTCCCCTTCCCTCTAAGTGAGTCCTGCTGCCTCCAAGTTCACAGTGGGTTCAAATGGGGCCTGGGTGGGGCCAGATCTGGGTCCCAGCTCGTCCTGGAGCTCCGCCCCAAGCGGAAGGGCCAAACCCAGGCTGGGGGGTGCCAGGCAGCAGCCTACTGAGCCTTTGGGGGTGGAGAGGGGGAGGCCAGCAACAGGGAAATGCTGAGGGCGCTGGGGGAGGGAATTCAGGGGTTAAAAAGCCATGGGTCCAGGCTGAAGTTGGAAGCAGCTGGCGGCGAAGTTCTGCACCCGGGCCTCTCACAGAGGTAGGGTCCGCCTGGGGCAGGGGCGGGAGCATCAGAGGGGAGGAGTGGGGAGAGGAGGGAGACGTGAGCTGGGAAAGGGAAAGAGGGTGAACAGCTGAGTCAGGGAGATGGGGCGGGAAGCCAGGGCTTCAGTTACAGAGGTACAGATCTGCAGAGCAGGGGAGGGTGAAGCACGCTGAAAGATAAGCTGCTTGAGGCCGGGTGCCCGGGACGACCCTGAGAGGGGAGCAAGGGGTCAGAGAGCGGCGGGAGCGGGTACTGAGGCCCCCAGCTCGCTGGAGGGCACGGATGCACGCTGTGCACGCCCCCCTGCCCCTCTAGCCTCCTTACTGGGCTCCCCACCGAGGATGGAATTTGGGACGGGGGTGCAGATTCCAGGCCCAAGGCTCTTAATGAAGGAGAGATTTTAGACTGGAAAGTGCAGGCGCACAGGTGGGGAGGAGGGACGGCCAGAGACGGGGGTTCGAGCCAGCCCTTAACACCTCCCCCACAACTTCTCAGGCCCCGCCCGCCCTGCTCCCCACCCCGGAGCCGCCATGTGGCCCCTGGCCGCAGTGATCGCCTTCCTGACGGTGGCCTTGTCAGGCGGTAAGAATGCGCGGGGGTGGAGGCGGGGTGGCCACCGGAACAATGGTAGGAGGGGTCAGGGCAGGAGGAGGGGGCGTGGGAGCCCTGAGCCCCGCCCACCGCCCACTCGAGGCCGGGTCCCCCAGGGACAGCCCTGAGAGCTTCCTGCTTGTCCCTGCGTGACCTGGTTTCTGGGCCGGGGCTAGCCCACTCTCCCCACCGGCCCCAGACCCCTCCCTGGGGCGTCCCCGCTCTGGTGAGCCCGCTCCTATTTATAAGTTTTCTGGATGTTCCTCACCAGCTCCTTCTCTGATTGCCCTACTCTGCAGTGGAAAGCTCACCCCCACCTGCAGCCCCTGCCCCCGCAGCAGCCTCCTCCCCTCTCAAGCAGGGCAATCGTGAGAGTTGGGTTCAAATCCTGACGCTGCCGCTTTGAGCAAGTAATTTAGCCTCTTGGTGTTTTTTAATCTGTAAAATGAGAACATCTAAGTCCCTACTAGGAAAGGTTGTTGTGAATGTTAGAATGAGCTAATGCGTGGCAGATGGAAGGGGCTGAAAAGTTAGTCGTCGTTACTTTATTAGTGTTCACTCTTCATTATCAGCTTCTTCCAGAGCCTTCTAGTTTGTTCTTCCTTTAATTCTTGTGGTGACCCCCAAACCTGATTCTACCCTGAGTCGGTCCCCAAAGATTCCTCATGTTTAAGGCAAATTTGCAGGCAGATTCTCAGGCATCATCATCTGTCCACCCATCCATCCTTCCGTCCATCCATTCATCCATAGCCATTCATCTAACCAACAAGCTGTTGAGCACTAGGCACTGTTCTGGGTACTGTGCAAGCAGACACGGTTCCTGCTATTAGCATCCAGAGCCTAGCGGGGAAGGATGCAGGCATTATTCAAACAATTACTCAAATAATTAGTTAATAATTAGTTAGGACTGTGACAGGAGGTGATGGCTTCAAGGGGCCAAGCCAGGAGCCTTGAGATGGAATGGCAGCTCCTGGCTTGGAAGGCCACCCAAAGGTCTGGACCCCTGAGCCGAGACCTGAGGAGGGAGGAGTCCTCAGGCACCTGGCACCACCCTTGGCCTGAAGGTGGGGTGGTTTCTCTCCTTTGGTGCCACTCCCAGGACTCGTGCCCTTGTCCTAAGCCCCTCCTGGGTACCACGCCCTGGGCTAGGAGCTCCACATGCATCATCTTGTGGAGCCCTCAGCAGCCTTATGAGGTAGGAACACTGTAATTACTCCAGTTTCACAGCTAAAACCCTGGGACTCTGAGACAGCAGGTCCTGCCCCAAAGACACCTGTGGCGCCTGAGTCAGGATCCTGATGTACATTGGCTGCCCTGTCCCCAGCATCCTGGACTTGAGGTTCTGGCAAACCATATTCATTATTTTAGATCTGATGGTCCGCTTAGAGTCAACTCTTTTTTTTTTTTTTTTAACTTTTTTAAACTTTTTTTTAACTTATATCATTGTCCTAAATGGAAAAGAGCACCCTTTGCTATAAATAAAAGGTAAGAGGAAAACATAAATCCTGCACAATGTAACAACAAAAACAATGTATTTATTGGGTTGGACCATCTGACATTGCCGGTAGTGGGCCTTTTTTGACCTTTCCCCTAACAACAATGGCAGATAAATTTTAGGTTGCCGGCTAAAGGCTTCTGTTTCTTCCAGGTTTTAAAAAGTGAGCTCAGCGAGGATTAGAGAGGTGTTAAAAGTATATCAGTCCCATCATGGAGCTCCATTTCTGCTTGGCAAAATGAGGACTGGAAGAGAACTGGACAGTGACTCAGTTTCTGGGGCTGCCATTTGATGTCACTTACACCTCATCTCTGTACCACCTAAATGACCTGTGTCCACCAAGACTCCTGTCCCCAGTTTTGAGAACCACTGAGCTAATCCCGTGGCTTATGTAGGGGGGGAAGCTGGCCCAGGGAGGAGAAGAGCCTACTGGCCACAGAGCTGGGGACCTCCTAATAATTTTTTTTAATGTTTATTTCTGAGAGAGAGACAGCATGAGCTGGGGAGGGCAGAGAGACAGACACAGAAACTGAAGCAGGCTCCAGGCTCTGAGCTGTCCACCCAGAGCCCAATGCAGGGCTCACACTCATTAACCATGAGATCAGGGGCGCCTGGGTGGCTCAGTCGGTTAAGCGTCCGACTTTGGCTCAGGTCACGATCTCGCGGTCCGTGAGTTCGAGCCCCGCGTCGGGCTCTGGGCTGATGGCTCAGAGCCTGGAGCCTGTTTCAGATTCTGTGTCTCCCTCTCTCTCTGCCCCTCCCCCGTTCATGCTCTGTCTCTCTCTGTCTCAAAAATAAATAAAAAACATTAAAAAAAAAATTTAACAACAACAACAAAAAAAAACCATGAGATCATGATCTGAGCCGAAATCAAGAGTTGGATGCTTAGCTGACTGAGCCACCCAGACACCCCTATAGCTAATAATTAATAACAGTCCCCACTTACTGGGCACTTGCTCTATGCCAGGTGCCGTGCCCCATGAGAAAGCTAAGCCTGGCAACTGGTAGGGCATCACCCAGCCAGAAAGTGGCACATTTAGGATGGGACTTTCCCATTGTTGATTGCTATGTCTCCAATGCTGGGCATAGTGCTAGCACACAACACTTATTGAGTGAACACCTACTATGTGCCAGACACTGTGCTTGGTCCTGGGGATATAGCTCTGAATAAAGCAGTTAAGGTGCCTGTTATCAATGGACCTTATAGTCAAATTGCAGAGATTAAAAAAAAAAAAAACCCACATAAATGTAAACAAATAGAGAGAGAAATGAATACTGATCATGGCTCTGATGGGAATCAACTGGGTGAATGTAATAGGGTGTGACTGGGGGGCTAGGAGGGACAATATTAGACCAGGTGGCCAGGAATCTGGGATGGCCTCCGAGGAGGTAATGTTTGAACTGAACTGAGCTCTCAGAGTCAAGAAGGACACAGACATGTAGCCTGTAGGTTCTGAGTGCCATCAAGTAGAATATTTCATATATGTGATGTCCTATATATGCCCTGTCCACTATGGTAGACACTGGCCATGTGGGACTCTTGAGCATTTCAACTGTAATGGGTGTGGTTGAAGAATTGAATATATTTCATTTTAATGAATCTAAAAGTAAATATCCACACGTGGCTAGCAGCTACCATATTGAACAGCACAGGTCTAGAGAAAGAACTGTCCAGAATGAAGCAGCAGCAAGTTCAGAGGGTATAGTGTGTCTGGAGAATGGGTCCACAAGTCTGGAACAGAGTGTGTGAAGAGGAAAGATGGGAGATGGGGCCAAAGAGGCTGGTAAGAGTCAGATGATACAGAGTCCTGCAAACTTTGAATTTGAAAGTGGTTAGGCTATGGGTTTTATTTAAAGTCATAGAGGCACCTGGTAAATAACGTGTTGAAAGGATGGATGGATGGGTACATACTTACTGCCTAGGTAGATCTATAGGTCAGTCTCCATGGTGGGATGGGAAGACGCAGGTGGGGAGAAAGTCAGGCTTGTTCCATGAACTCTGTGAGCCCCCAGTGGAGTTAGCACTTATACAGAAAAGGACATCATCACCTCTTTGCCCTGACTCCTCTCCACTACATGGAAGCTGGCAACTCCCAGAGGCCAACAAATGAATCATCAATTCCTGGTCACCCAGAGCAAAATTCTGACCCTCTCCCCAAGCCCAAGGCCTCCTTCTCCCCCTGAACCCCAATTCCCTAACATTTTCTCTTCTTCACCAGGTATCTCTCAGGAGTATCCCAAGATTCTCAACGGCACTAATGGGACCAGCGGGTTTCTCCCGGGGGGCTACACCTGCCGCCCCCACTCTCAGCCCTGGCAGGCAGCCCTACTGGTGCAAAAGCGGCTGCTCTGTGGGGGAGTCCTTGTCGACCCCAAATGGGTCCTCACTGCAGCACACTGTCTGAAGGAGTATGTGGGGGTCAGGGGCGCATGAGGGTAGGGATGAGAACAGGACTGGGATGGTGAGGGGGTGGGTGGATGTGGATTGAGGATGAAGTCAGAGTTAGGGTTGGGGGTTGGGACTGGAAATGAAGTCCAGAAAGAGGATTTGAATGGGACTGGAGTTGAGGATGTGGAAGGAGATGTTTGGAGAGGAGGAAGGTGGTGGAGACGGGCTTAACCTCTCTAATCACCCCCTTCCTGCACCCACAGAGGGTACAGAGTTTACCTGGGCAAGCATGCCCTGGGGCGTGTGGAGGCCGGAGAGCAGGTGAGGGAGGTAGTCCGCTCTATCCCCCACCCTCAATACCAGATCAGCCCCACCCACCTGAAGCATGACCACGACATCATGCTTTTGGAGCTGCATTCACCGGTCCAGCTCACGAACCACATCCGTGTTGTGCCCCTCTCCCAAGACTGCCTCCCTGCTGGCACCTGCTGTCGGGTGTCTGGCTGGGGCACCACCACCAGCCCCCAGGGTATGCACCCTCAACAGGTGGCCTGAGGTGTCATTGGCTGGGTAAACTGGGGCAGAAAAGGGAGGGAAGGTTGGAGGAGGATTCCTTTATATATAAAGCAATACATGTATAGTAATATTATATATACTATATATGTTATATATCCTTTATATGAATACATATACATTTATAAATAAGAAGTTAACATGTTATATATATCTCCTTTACACAAATGTCCATTTATAAATATAGAGTTATATGTTACATATGTCATAGATTGTATAGTTATATATCCTTATATAAATATATATACATTTATAAATATGTATAAAGTTATGTTACATATCCTTTATATAAATATACATGAAGTTATATATTTTATAGAATGTTACAGATCAGATATATAAACTTCTATGTCCTTTATATAAATATATAAATTAATAAAAACATAGATATTGTAATATGTGTTATATATTACATGTATGATATATTTATATAAGTACAACACATGACACGTTTGTATCCAAATATGAAAATTCTCGTGTAGGTTGATTTTTTTTAGATCATAAGTTCTATATTTATGTATTTATTTAAATACGTTTACATATAAACTATGTATTAGACAAATTATACCTAAATATATTTAAATAAATTGTCACTTAATGCATTTGATATATTGGCAGGTATGTACTTGTTAAATGTAAGGACGTGTAGGTGTGTCCTTTGTGTTTAAGTTACATGTGCATGAATATTAAACTGATCTTCGTAGCATCAAGGGCCCTTTGCATCTCCTTAGCGGTGCCCTGGCTTCTTCCCCGTCTCCTTTCCCTCTTTCTCCCCGATCTGTCAGCTTTCTCCGCACGGCTTTCCGTCCCCTTGTTTCCTCACCCCCAATCTTCTGTCTCTCACCACATGTCACTATCCCTCTTCTCCTCTCCCTTTTATGTCTCTTCCCACTTTCCTGCATTCTCGAATCTTCCCCTCTTGTTGGCCTCCACCTCCCCTGCCCCATTTCTCTCCACACCTGTCTCCTCCATCCCTTACCCCACATACATATCCCGTCTGTTCCCCATCTTCCTCTTTGCATCCATTTTCTACCGACTCTCCTGTTTAACTCCCACCCTGTAGCCTGGCTGAGACAGACATCCTTAGACCTTCCTCTCTCTCCTTCCCAGTGAGTTACCCCCCAACCTTACAATGTGCCAACATCCAGCTTCGCTCAGATGAGGAGTGTCATCAGGTCTACCCGGGGAAGATCACACCCAACATGCTGTGTGCCGGCACAGAAGAGGGTGGCAAGGACTCCTGTGAGGTGAGAACGGCATGGGGCAAGGGGGCGGGGAGGTTGCCATGGGCCAAGATGGGAAGCCAGAATGAAGGCAGGGACAGCTTCCGGGAGTAGAGCTTCATTTTAGCCTTGGGGGAACCAGTGTTTTAAGAGGACATGTCCCCTAGCATAGAGGGTCGAGATAAAAAGAGAAGTACCCGTGACTGGAGACTATAATTCATCTTAAGCCTCGGCTTTGACTGGCATTGGCTGCCCAGATCCCTGTGTTGAGATGCATAAAGGTTGGTGTTGTTTCACTTGCGAGAGAAACCCAACTCAAACCAGCTTAAAAGCAAGACACACTGGCTTTTGTAACCGCAAAGTCCAGGGGTGTCTTGCTTCAGGCACGGATGGATCCAGGTGCACAAATAATGTGTTTACAATGCTGTCTCTTTTCATTTCAGCTCTTCTCTCTTCTGTTTTTGTCTTCATCCTCAGTTAAGCTTTTCCCAGCAGTTTTGGGCTCACATCTCACCCTCCTAAGCAACTCGATCAGAAAAAGTTTTCCAAGTGTTTACCTAAACATCCTTTTTTTAAATGTTTATCTATTTTTGAGAGAGAAACAGAGCATGAGTGGGGGAGGGTCAGAGAGAGAGGGAGACACAGAATCCAAAGCGGGCTCCAGGCTCCAAGCTGCCAGCACAGAGCCCGACGTGGGGCTCGAACCCACAAACCATGAGATCATGATCTGAGCCGAAGTCAGACGTTTAACTGACTGAACCACCCCGGCGCCCCTGTTTACATAAACATCTTGAGCATGATTCTCACTAGGCTGACTTAAGTCATGTGTCCTGAGCCTTCACTCTGACCAGAGCTGTGGGATTCTCTGATGGACCGAGTCTGTTACGTGACTGACTGTGTGGGCCAGGGAGGGGCTGTTCCCCAAAAGCGAAAATCAGGGGGCAGTTATCAAAATGGGAGGAAATGGGTCCTACCTGGGCAAAAACCTCCACTAAGCACAAAAAAGCAAAACTTATATCCGGTAGAGGAGGCTTCTGAGATTGAGTTTTGGTTTAGTGGGAAAGATGGCGTGTGCCTTGAGTGATCAATGAGGAGTGTCTTGGGTCCAGTAGGGAGAAGTGAGAGTACACGCTCTACATCACCATACCCAGATGTGGGTGAGTTTGCCCAATAGTGAGATGGCACCAAGGAGCCATAAAGCCACAGCAGGGTTGGGGGGCAGCACGGTGTGGGGGGGG